ATTGCTAGGACCTTTTAAGCTGACAGTCCTAACAAAAAGACCCCGTGGAAGAGTCAAAGGAGAGAGAAGGGGACTTAACAAGCAGATGCTTTTATTTCACTTAATGATCAGTAAATGCCCAACAGGATAATCTGTTCTCCTCAAATCATGTTTCTTTTCCCATTTAGACAACAAATGTCGAATATTTTCTGTCTCATGACATGAAGCTCCGCTCACAGTGTTTATTTTTTCTGTTTTTGGTATCGTCAATTATCCATGCTAGCCCAGATGGGGGTTGTGTCTTTGGTAAATTGTCTACCTGCCATATCCTGTTGTAAATCTTCATGGCCTGTGCTTCTCAACCTTACTCCAAGTTCCCTGAGCTCCTGGAGCAATGGGTGTAACATGGACTAATGTCAAGAATGCTGTGTGTCCTTCTTCAGAAGACTGCATAGCCCCCTTCCAGTCCACTATGCACAGCAGATCCTGGGTGGCTGTCACTCAAAGGGCCTTGGCAGAGGCTGGGGTGGGCTGATCCTTCTCTTTCCACCTCTGTACTTATGTAACATGTGTCTCAGGAGACCCCAATGAAAGGCTCTAAATCCTTCCTTATTGTGCCACCAGTGGCCCTCCCAAACACCAGTTAGGCCACTGCCTCCTAAAAAACCTACGAGGGTCCCCCGCTGCCTATGACAGGAAAGGGTGCCACAGGTGGGTGCCAGACGACTGTGATAGGACCCTGTGCTTCAGCCACACCAAGTCACTTCCTATGTCCTGGACACTTTCTCTATTTCCTGCATTGGGTCGAATGGTGAAGGAGTTAATAATATGGGCTTGGGAGCTAAACCACCTGGATTCAAATCTTCATAATTAGGTAAGACTTACTGGATTTACTAGATTTTACAGCTGTGACTCAACTTCTTCATCTGTAAAGTGGGGAAAGATTGATTCCTACTCATGCAGTTGTAGTTAGGATTCAAAGTTCCTAGGCACAACACTCTTGGAATGATGCCTGACACTCAGTAAGCAATGAATAGTGTGAGTAATATTAGCAACAGAGAATTCTCCTCATCACACAAGGCTAGGTTCATTGAAACCTTCTTCTCACATAGGTTCAGCCTTCCAAACCAGAGGTGATGTCAGCCCACTCTACTCTCACAGCCCATGCTAATAGATATCCTAACTGTTCCCACTCTATTTTGCTGACTCCTACATTAATTAAACTGTAAGTGTTGTGAAGACAGACACCTCCTCTAATCTATATTACTTTATACGCTTCAGAGATCTTCTATAACACCTCCATGCCAGAGGCTTTCACGAAACATACGCTGGATGAAAATCCATCTGAGAAAGGAAGAGAAGCAGACCCCTGAAATGCACAGACTTGGTGGGTTCCACTGGAGGATACAGTGTGAGAGCCCAGGCATTGCCTTCACACCGTCTATCCACCTGAGGGACAGTCTCAGCAGCCAAGATGCATTCGAGAATAAAACAAATGGAAAGTGGCCACAGAAAGAACTGAGTATGATTGTAATCTGGGCATAATGTAAGGAATCCATGAATCTAGTAAAAATGGTGTCAACTATACTTTTTTTCCCCCTACAGGGACTTCTAGAGAGTTTTCATTGGATATTCAATAGGGTCTGTAAAAACTACCTCCCAAATTAAGAACCCGTGACTTAGTTATTTAGAGACAAAGTTCTTGCCCTTAGGGGCCTTACAACTGAGGGAAGACACAGATATCCTTATAAGGCACAAACCACCAACTAAGGAGAACAGAGCATTGGGTGCTTGGTGCGTATGGAGGAAGCTGGGAGAGGCTCCTTAAATCATTCTATGTTAAGAGACCAACAAGGAGGCAAATAACAGGGCACACTGGGAACCCCATGACCCACTCCTCCCCAGGGGCTGTGAAGTTCAAGGTCATCTATTAGGACACAGGAAACCCTAGCTTGGAGCACAGGCATTCACCATTTAGCTCAGTCTGACTGCAAGAGCTGTTTTCTGTCAGAGTGACTAAAAAACATACTGTCGGCATCCAGACACACAAAACGAGGCTGTTCACCTAATGATTGTACAGAGAGTTAAGTGACACTTAAAAATCAGGGTAAGCCTGATGCCAGAACAAAAGGGAGACAGAGACCCATTAGCACTGAGTCCCAGCAGCACAGTATACTGGCAGATAGTTTGCAAGGAACCCTCTTGTAGGAGCCTGTTTTATTTGCAGAAGCCACAGTGGTAAATTAAAGCCCATCCTCGCCCATTCTGGGCTCTCCAGTTTCTCTTGGAGCTATTCCTATCACTGCCCCATAGGCCACTAAACCTGCCCACATTCAGAATGATTGATTCTGTTCAAACAGCAAGCCACAAACTCATGTCGAAAAACCACTTCAAATATGTCATTAGCTTTCTTTATGGATGTTTCAGGTCATAAGAAATAGGACCTGGGAGTCGTATCTTCTATAGAGTAGAAAGGGAGTGTTTGAAGAGGTAGATGGACCTGGAGAAGCCACAAGATACTGCATGAGGCCCTCTGTTTTCTTTCAATCAACAGGAGGGATCTTGCAAAAAATGGTTCTGGGAACCTCAGGACCAGTGCCAGAGTCAAACCCAACAAACGCATGGTTCTCCATTCACACACTGGAAAGGAAGGAAAGCAGATTTGGCTTAACACCCTGTCTTTGCTGCCACATCAGAGCATAGAGAACACCTGGGACGCAGAAAGTAATGGAGAAGTGCCTGAGACTTTCTGACCTGTCACAAAACAGCCTGTTCCAGCTGAGAGACCCTTGTGGTGGGTGGGGTAAAGTATCCTGGTGACAGAAGCTGTGGCCACAGCAGCAGCTCAAAGGCAGCAACACCAGAAATGCAAGTTCTATAGCTTGGCAAGTCTCAGCTCACCGCCTGACCCACGTTTAGCAATTCTGATGTACCACGGAACAGACAGCTCCAGCCCAGGTTGTCTGCCTCCCTCAGCCCCTCTCCAACAGGCAATGAAAGCTAGACCCACTTTGAAAATTCTCCCCCATCATGCAAACTGACATAGGCATGCTTTTCAAAAACCCACAGCCAATCTGTTGATCATTACTTATTTACAAAGGCCTTCAGGCAGAAAGTCCTGTAAAAACCATACTTGATACAGTATACACTAGCTTTTTCTGCTTGTGGAAAAAAAGTCCCCTCAAGGCTACCTCAAACCATCACTTTCTATTGCACATAAAATGTAGCGTGTAACACTAAAGTATTTAATATATATGGTATAATATATCTACAGGAAAGGCATTTGTGTAGAAGTATGTTACCCTGGATTTGGTAATTTGATGTTTTGCTGAAGGCTATGACTTAAAAAAGCTTCCACCACGTACAGAAGACCTGTCATCTTGGTACCCAAGAGCCAACAGAATAAAGAAGTACCCTTAAGCAGCAAAACTTTGACACAGCTTTGAAGCATATGAAAACAGTGTAACTCCTCAGAATTATTATTACTCAAGATCAAAGAAATGAGCCATACTTTACATAGCAAACAGGGACAGGGAATTTGGCTCCAAAGGTTTCAGATTTTTCAGACTTCTCTTTATTTATTTATTTGCTCCTCTAAATTTAGGCAGAAGAAAGTGCTTTTCTCTACTTTAAATGGATAAAACTATTAGCATTAGATAAGGCGATTACCTAAAGGTGAGTAAATAGGAAATGCATGCTAGCATGACAACTGGCTTCATGAGAATGAGAGGCTTGGCAGTTGGCGCATTTTATTCCTCCTTGTAAACTGTAAACAAGCATGTAAATCAGCGAGACCCGAGCAAGACTGAGCAAAGGGGGAGGCAGAGAACTGTTAAGGAAACATTTAACAGGAAGAAACGGTTATAATGGAAACAGATATGGGGCTGGGTGAGTCTTCCACGGGAACTTGTGTCCTCGGCTGCATGGAGAAGGACTGCCCATCCCCATCCCAAAAAGGAGCTCGAGGAGGGCCAAGAAGATGTGAATGTGGGGGATGAGGGGAGAAGGAGGGAAAAATCGCCATCATTATATTTCAATAATGAAAGGTAGATTGGTCAATGCAGATGCAAAGGGAAAAGTAACATCAAGATGGCAGGTATTTCCACAGCCGTGACCATTTCAGGGAGAGCAGTGCCCGTCTGAGATCACCCCTGCTTCACTGAGGTGACAGAGAGTTAGGGTGTTGGAAGGAAGAAGCGCTGGAATTGGCAGATGAATCAAAGACAAAAATGGGAAGATGAAAGAGGAACTTGCAGAACTGTGTTGAAATTTGGTTTCACTTTCTATTTCTTAGAGGAAGCCATAGTCAAGATAGAAAGAGGGAAGGGAAGGGAAGGAAGAGAAGGAGGGAAAGAAGGAGAGAGGGGGAGAGGAAGAGGGGGGAGGAGAGAGAGAGAGAGACCACACTCTATTCCATAATTAATATTGCTTTTAGCCTGAGCAGATCTGTATTTATTTTGAACTTTGCTTTGGCAAATCCACAGATTATTAGATTTTTTTTCTATCAGTCGAAATCAATTAACAGAAATTTGATTTCAATGGACAGGATAAAAGGAAGGTAATCTTCAGGTTCATTTTTGATTGTGATGATACATCTCACATATGGCCTTAAGTACAGACAACAGTCCTCGGAGGGACTCCTGCAGAAAGAGAATAGCCAGAGGCGAACTAACCACATGAGTTCCTCTGATTGGTTGCCACCATCATTAGTGCCACTGCTGTTTAGGAACTACACACAGACAGGACACGGTGACAGCTAAGACTTTAAAGCCTATGTATTTTTCAAACAGCTTTTCAAACTGTTTTTCATGACAGAATTTTTTCAGCTCTATCATTAACTGCTGACAAGCTGACAGAATAAATACTCCAGCCTTTAAGAAGCCATCTAATGATCCCATCCCCACCCCCCTCCTCCCGCTTGCTAGAGAGGGGAGGCCCTGGCCCTGGGCAGGGTGGGGAGGGTGAGAAAGGGAAGAGAAGGAGCTAGAGGGGAACCCCCTTGGCCGAGGCCCCCTCCTTACCTCATCAGCTTGGGTGAGGAGCTGGGGGAGTTCCGCATGCCTCCATTCCGTTGCTTTTTTTTTGGTGACAGCGTTGAGGGCTGCTCATCTTCAACTGGAAATATAGGCAGCTCATAAGATTACGGACAGTTTGAAGGCAGACTGAAAATTACAGGCAAGATATCGAAGGACACACATTCATGGCTCAGTCACTCACTAGGAACTCATAACTGTCTTTTAGGACCCAATGACAAAGACCAAATGTGTTAGTCCAAGAAGCCGGCTTAGGAAAGGTGAAAGCATCACCTCTTTTACACTCCAGCATTTGATCATGCACTTCAAACAGACTACAACAGTTTGTAAACACCCTGCCATAGAGAAAAGAAGTGATTTATCTGAATACAGAAAATATTTATAGGGGAACACGCAATCATTATTCTTAGAGATAATTTTGGTTACTTTGCTTGGGTGGGCAATCAAAAGGGTTTTCTCATAATCAAAATCAGAAATAAAGTTGTATTTGAACAGCAGCACAATAGCTGACAGCCTGATGCTTCTGCAAATGAATCTACTTAACTGATTCCTAATCCCTGCACACCTGATGAAGAGCCTTGGAGAGAGGCAAGGATTTGAGGCCTTGACAGCCAATGTTTCAATCACTCAGGACTGGGAACATTGGAGCATGCTGGCCCAAGAATCCCCAGCCCAACTCAGCTCTTGTCCCCTACACCTTCAGAAAAGGAGGGCTGTGCACATGGGGTCTTTTCTTAACCTAGTAGGATAAGAGGACCGGGCTATGAGGTTGGAGAACCCGGCAGGAGAAGAGCACCCGAATGAAGGAGGAGGTTGCCACTGAATGATATCCCTGATGATGTGGTGAGGGGAGGGGGAGAAGGCAGCACAGGGGATTGGAAACCAAAGGCTGTTTTCCAATGTCTAAACTAAACAGGTCGCTAAGCAATGTGAAGCTTTGCTCACACATAACACAGCATACTCTTCTGCCTTTGCCCAAAGACACCCACTAATAAGCTTTGTAGATGTATTAGCCTGTATCATGCTTCTTTTTAAGAGAGTTGCCTGATAATTAGTAGATGCATACCCAGCCTGTCACCCAAGGGCATTGGTGGCAAAATTCTAGTCCTTCTCTCCCCATCCCCACAATTCAGGCTAAAGCTGTAATGTCAAAAAGGAAAAAATAGGATCCTCAGATTCTTATAGTTGATTGCAACACAGACTAGGAGGAAGCACCCCTGAAATCCAGAATGCACAGAAATTACCTTTAAGGTTAAGAAGAAAAACATTAGCAGTGACGACATCAAAAGATGCTTGACATTTATGTTAATGGTGTACAAGTCAGGTTGGGGAGAAAATGTCATCTCATCTACTTGATATTATCCAAAAGACTCATATGAGCACACACATTACATGCTGCTTCCCTGAAAACCCTGAATAAATTTAGTATGTTATGATACATGGTTCTAAAGGGATTATAGTAACCCAAGTACTCTCTGCACCTGCTTCAAAGTATCACACTTAGCAACCCCCCACTCCCACCATTCTACTGTCAGTGTGAGGTTGCTTAAATTCTCGCTGACACAGGGAAAGGGAACAAGACTGTGGTTCTAGGTGAGAGCTATTCCAGAAAGAATGAAGGCAAGAAAACACCTGTAAATGCCCACAGCCCACTAACCCTACCACCTGCGCCCCATCTCCCCCAGAGGCCCATGCTCAGGCTATGACCGTACCAGTCACTTAGGGCTCCAGGAAGGAACTATGTGCCTGGGAGGATAGTGCATCTTATCAGAAATGAGTATCCACAGCAAATCACACTGAAACTAAACAGCACTTAAAAGATTAAAGGAAATAAATACAAGCCACATAAATGGTATTGAAAAAAATCACTTAGCGTTGATATGCATCTCTCGGCAAGCAAACAGGCACTCTGAGCTTGACCTGAATTCATCTTCCTTTCACAGGACAGGGGGCCAGGCATCCCAGGCAGTAACAGGGTAGAAAGGCAGTGAGGTTCAGAGTGAGGGAGAACATGTGTGTGAGTATACTTAGGCGCATTTGTCATCTTCAGATGGGGTAGAAAATCTTGCATTGATGCCACCCATAACACAAGGTCACTCTAATGTAGAGCACTTGCAGTTCTTATGTGTTCAGGGTGACCTAGATTGGCTGAGTCACGTGCCAGACTAAATGTCATGTGTGCATGGGAGTGTGTCTAGTGGGGGTGAAAGTTCTTTTCTTCTCTATCACACAAACTTTTTAATGGTTAGAATGAAATATCCAAAAGGGTCTTTTACCTAGTCTCCTATGTCTAACTCTATATTTATTTGAGGTTGCCAGATGTTGCCATGGTTGTGTCTATATTAGTTAAGACCTGAAAAAAAGTCACACTCACTGATATTTCCACTGGATTCTTTTGCTTAACTTTTGTTTTCCCATTTGCGCTGGGTCCACAATAAATAACCCTCTTTGGTTAAGAGCCCAATATCCTTGCACCATGTTGCCGTCTGTTTACCTGCAGCGATGTTCAGATGGAAGACTTTCAAGTTAATACCTGTTAGTCAGGTCCAGGGGGACACCTTGTTCTGGTGCTAAAGTTATGCCTCCTTATATGCAAGGAAACTATTTATTTTCATTGCAAGTCAGAAAGATCATCCATCACAGTCATACTGCATTTAAACTGGGATTTGTTCTCTTAAATGAAACTCATGTTCAAAGATTTCCTCCTGCACTCTCAGCCTGGAAATGCAGATCTGTTCCCCGAAGAGATGGGGAGAATGTCTCCAGCTTAGAAATATGAATGCTGTGGAATGGAGACTGTTATGTATGGCTCAGGTCCCACAAGAGAAGCAGCGATAACTTCTTTCCCATAAGTAGGATATAAACCATATTTAATTATTACCCTCTATATAGATCCTATCAATTTCAGCATATTTAAAGAAAGCAAATCTAGAAAAACTTTTGGTTAAGTTATAAAATATAATTTTCACTTTATGGCTTCTGTGACTACATGAGAGGAATAAAAATTGAATTAAAAGGAAGACTTAAATTCACATCCTGTCAACTAAGACAAATGTATTGAAGGAATGGGGCAAGCACCTGATGCTGATGCACATTCACAGGTTCATATTTAGCCTGCTTTTTGACTAATTACAGTACACCTCTGTCTCCAGCATTCTCACTCGCATCACGCTGTGGAAACCTCAGGAAGATACGATCTGTTAAAGGAACCTGACTTACCAGCTTCTTTAAAACACAAACAAGTTCAGGAATCCAATGTAGAATTTTTATAGGGGCTGAACTCCATCCAGTCTCCAAGTACTCATAAAATTCAAGGGCTTGTTTTTGCACATCCCTAAGTATAACACTTAATGTGCTGTTATAACTTCCCAGTGCTCGCTTGTCTAATAGGCACTGAATCGGACAGTTTTACAGTTTGGGAAGACTCAGCGCTAGAAAAATGTCAGGCAAGTCTAATGAGGCTTCAGATCCCTTGGTTGGCGCTAGAGTTTAATTTAAAGTTACAATGATGTTTTAACATGTTTGCTTATACTTGACTAAAGAGGATTCGTTATTTCGATGACATAACCTCCAGACAATGCTCTGGGAATTGATTTAAGATGTGGTGGTAATTCCAACAGCCTTAATGCAGAGTTGAACATCTGTAACAACATTTTACTCGACTTTTCATCGTCATTCTGTTTTCAAGCAAAGGCAAGGCAACATCTTCCAGAAACACCGGCCAGAACTCTGGGTTTACTTCAAGACGATCATATATTTTACTGAGTTAAATAAAAAAACTTTCTTTATTGGCCTAGCCAGCTTGCAAACAGTGTACCAAGGTTCACCAATGCCTCTCTGTGGGCCCTTTGAGTAAAATGGGCAAAGACTTCAACTTTCAACTTCCCCAAATAATCCAGTGCCCCGACACTGGACAAACTCCTTGCTCAGCTCCAGCCTGGGGCACATTCCTTCTTCCCTGCTTCCTCAACAGGGTTTAGCAGGATGATGCCCTTTGAGACTTAAAGGTGAGTTTGTTGGCTGGAGTTAAGAAATAGTTCAAAGCAAATAAACTCAGAAACGTAATAAAAGGCAAACGACCCATAAACATGAGTTGACTGGCTATCTCCATTACGTTATTAATCACCACATCTGGAGAAACCCACATCTGCACACACTTAGCAGGTCATTAGTAATGTCATATTCACACTGGAATCACTCAGGGTAAGAGGCATGCAAAGTGGCTTGAATGTAAAAGGCATCTAGCTAACAGGGCTTCCGACTGAAGTCTTGAGCAAGCTGCTAGTTTGCGAGTATGGTAGTTTTAATTATTATTTATTGTTCTTTATGGTTTTTCTCTATGGTATTTTGCTGCCCATTACAAGCTAAATGCATGCTGAAATCCACAGTAGTGCATCTGTCTTCAACTGAACTCAGCATGTTAAGGTAGAGCATTGAGGGGTGCAGGGCAGTTATTAAAAACTGGGATGGGTGCCAGTACTCCTTCACCTGGCTTGGTCACAAGCCGAGAATTGTGAGTTGCATTCTTGAACTCAAATGGGTCTTTGGAATAGCGTGATCTAGCTTCAACCTTGACTGCCAAACAATAATAAGAAAAGAAAATGGAAATTAATCCTTTGTGAAATTTTTCATTAGAAAAGTTGCAAACCAGTTTTAAAATGGAATAGAATTATAACTTTAAATTAACATGAAAGTTTCTTCCTCATAGCCACATTGAGAGTTTTTCTTTCCTTTTCTTTTACCCGGGTGACTTCTTAAAATTCTTTTTGCTGTGTTACTGTCATCAACGTCAGAAGGGATAATATATCAGATGGCAATCTTGTTTGTGCAGTAATTTCCAAAAATATACAGAGTTCCCTTCTCCCTTACAACCTACACAGACATGGAAAACTGAGTTTAGCAGCAACAAAAGACCCCTTATCTCCTGAAATCTGCAAAAGTGCATTCCACTCCCTGATCGCTATATTCCAAATCAGCAACCTGCTATGTTAACCTATCATTTCCATCTCAAGCCACTGGTTTGGTCAGACCCTTGGCTGCAATATGGCTGCCTAATTTGCGTAAAGTGCCATGGGTCTGCCACGCCTAAGAAAGGGGAACATGTAATATGTATATCCTTGTATCATGAGTGACATCAGTGAAATGTGGATGTGTGTTGTTAGTCTATCAGGATGTGAACGTTGCTTTATTAAAACTCAGGGTAAAGAGAGGGCAAAACTACTGGACTAGACACTGAACAGTGTGCTTCTTGATTTCTGTGGGTTTATCAAACTTCCTCCTCATAAAAAATCATATCAGTACTACTAATACAGTCATTTCTCAATATATAATTCACAATGGACAAAACTCCCAAGCTGACCCAACCTTCCTCTAATATGGACACCTAAGACTTTCACCAGAAAGTCTGGGCTACTTAACTTGAGGGTCTTAAGAGTGTGGCCATGTAAAAGCACCCCAGAACTGGAGCACAGGATGACACCAGCTTCACGGAGGGACATTTCCTGTCTCGCGGTCATCGATTACCAGAACCCTGGCTGCCTGGCACACGCGCCAGACTAGTGAGAAGGTGAGGGTGTTTCCTTTAGCAATGAAGGAAAATCAACCACAACAAGAAACACAAGTGCCAGATAAATAACCCATAGGGTGAGTTTGTCCCTATCATTTCTGTAAAGGAGCACTTGACTGCTGTTTCAGGATGGGTCCCCCGGTGGGGAATGCCACATGCCCATCAGTGAGGCTGGGCAGCTGAGCACTTGTTAGAAGGTAAAACAGGCACATCTTATACCTGGAGGATCAGTGGGCAGCTCAATATCTGAACATGGGAGTTAAGTGGGTGATATCCTTGGAACAAGTTTCTGCTCTGACAACCTTGGGATAATATGTATCACCAAGAAGTTTGGAAAATAGTTCGCAGTATTATTGATAAGATCAATCCATAAAGCTATTTTTGAAAGACCATGGTGAATAGCAATATACAGATAATGATAAGACAAAAGATACTGCTTCTCAAAAGCAATGTCAACAGTAATAACACCTCCAACATATATATAACTCTCTAAAATTGAGCAATTGCTTTATCATTCATATTATCAGGCAGGATAATTTCACAATTTCTAGCTGAGAAAGAAAAAGTACATTTATTTGGAAAACCTAGAAGGCATAAGTTAAAGGAAAAAAAAAAACAAACAAAACCTGCCATTACATAAAATGAGGATGGAAAGTATCTCCAAGTAGCCCACCTGCCCTGGTGCCCACCCAGGAAGCACCCGCCCTGCCACATGCTGAGGGGGCAGGGAAGGGAGACTTGCTGGAGCTTTTTCATTTCTGGCTTTTGTGGAGCTAATAGGAGAATGGAGAGGGAGACTTTAAGGAACAATAGGTTATGTAGAAGTTAATCACAGGGTATATTTCTGGCTTTATTCACTACCTAGGAAACCTGAATTGTGTAAGTTTGAGTTCATCAACACAGAGCAATGAGAGAATTCAGCTCCTACATGGGAGGAAAAACAGTGTATAAATATATGAACAGATTCTACATGACCTACATTGCAATATTTTCTACAGGAACACTGTGGGCCTAATGAATCTTCTACAGTCAAACTGGGTAGATTCAAAGTACCTACCATACCCACCCCCTTCCATCCCATCTCAAACCAGAAGCCTGATTGTATGTATCTTGGTAAGAGTCCAACATTCATCAACGTCCCTGTATCTAGAATCTTAGCTCATACATCTTCACTAAAAACTTGACCTGCTGTAATAACTTCCCCAATACTCTGTTCCACTCAGTATTTTGTAAAAAAATTCCTTTTGGAGATCTAGTTGCCTTTTGCTCTTTTCCTTCTTCTTCTTCTTCCTTTTTTTTTTTTTTTTTTTTTTGGAACAGACTGTCTCCATCACCTCAAGGTCAAAGAAAAGTCTCATGCAAAGATCACTACCTATTAGCTTCTCAGAGACAAAACAGAGATGAGCAATGAAAGTCTAAGAGCAGATATACAACCAAAATGAGAAATGCAAGAATTTCCTTTAATTATTGCTATGGAACTTGGAGACTGGGAAGGCAGTAGATGAAAGATAACTGTTACTTTGAATTAAACTGGGGGAAATGTACAGGAGTCCAAGAAAAACAGCCCCTTTTCAACTTTCCTTCTCTCCCCACTCCCAACATCAACAAGCTGGTAAATGCTCTGCAGCCAAAGAGTGTACCAGACTCGTTTATGTGGCCCTGGCATAGGCAGGGCCTGTTTGCCGAGGTCAGGGCTTCAGGACAGAGATGAAACCTGCCAAGTCCCTAGCACCACGAGCTGCCTTCTTCCTTCTTAGATTTCTCAAGTTCAGGGGTTGGTTAGTAACCTGTAGACAGGAACATGTTTTTGTATGGCCATGTACTAAAATGGTTTGTTCATTTTTAAATAGTTGGGGAACAAAATCTAAGAAGAAAAACACTTTCTAACACATTAAAATTATATGTAAATCAAAGTAGTGGCTAGAAATAAAATCTTACTGGGACACACCCACAGCCCTTGTTTAATTGTTGTCTGTATCTGTTTTCTCTTCACAACCAGAGAGTCAAGTAGTTGCAATAGAGACTGTATGGTTGGCAGAGCCCAAGATGCTTATTTGCTGGCCTTTGCTAAAAAAAGTTTGCTCGTCCCTGCTCTTCTTGCATTTTTTTTAATGTCCTGTTTTCAAAAAGAACAGTGTTTTTCCAATCTGCCGAGACAACCAAATGAAAAGAAGCACACATGGAGCCCACTTTAAGGGAAGAAATTGGGCTAGGTCGGGAGGGAGAGAGGCAGTTTAGTGCCCACAATGTCCCTACCATCTAACCTACTATTAGTTCTGCAGGTCCCCTTGCATTTGAGGAAACCAGGCAGGTGAGTTTCCCCTTTCCCAGCTCAAGCTAAGTTAGAGCCATCCACCCTCCACTTTGAGAATCAAGGCAAATCACATCTACCACGAGCAATTCCCTGAAGCTGTCAGTGTCGGCTGCAGGTCCATCCTGCAAGAGCCTGGACAAGACAACAGATTAACCATTAGACTAGATATGTTGAAAATATGCAGCTTCAACCTTTCCCCAGCTAGCTCAGAGCGATATATAGATGATTATTTCAACCGTCAGCTGCCGCATAGATTTAAACCCCTGCACAATAACTCCTGGATTCATCTGCCCCTTGTCAAACTTGCACAGCTTTAGTTGGAGGATACGTGGGGTGGCAGTTTCCCTGTGAATCCGGAATGATCCAGACGGCTGCTGTCTCTTTGTTAACAGGAAGCCAAACTGATGAGTTTGTAATGCATTTCTTATCAAAGGTAGTTTCAGAAAGCGTGTCCCATCGGTTTGGCTAGAATTTCACATAGACTACATTATGGGCTTAATCAGAACATCTCTGTTATTTTCATGAGGAAATAGATAATTTGCACCCATTCCATTAAAATCACTTTATGCCAATGAATTATGTATTTATGAATTTATAATTATCCTTGATTTTTCCCCTCTTGCAGTATACTTAATAAAATCATCAGCTGGAGCCTACAAAGCAATAGTGCTTAATAGATACAAGCATGCTAATATATTTTTTTAAGTTAATGCTGATCTTTTTGAGCTGTGGGTCTAAAACGATCATTGTGAATAAAGGGATTGTAATTTTCAACTCATACGTTTAACAAAGACAAAATGGACTGTAATGGAATTTATGGAGCTTGTAAGAGAACCCTTTTCCTAATACAGTTTATTATCAAATAGATTTGGATTTACTGAAGGACAAGTCGGGTCCCTCTGCAACGCATCAGGACAGAACGGCTGTAAGTTACAGAGCACTGCTCCCGGTGCGCGGGGAGCGTTCGTGTGAGTGGGAGCAGCTGCCAGTCTTCTGTGGTGCTGCCTGTTCTAAACCCTGCTGACTTGTGAAATCCAGTACTTCAATCCTAGTGTGAAAATAGCTATTTATCCTCTTTATTTAAAATTCAGACATTTTATTCATCATGGATTTTTTTACGTTTTGATTTCTTTAAACAATACTGCATTAAGTTATCATTTACCTTCATTACTGAAGTTTCTGATGCCCCCTTAAGTTTGGTCTTCAAGGTAAATGCCTCACTCCAGGCCTGGCCCTGCCCTGTCTGCCTCCCAAGGGTGGTCTCTGTGCTGGTTCCGCCGCCCTGCCTGTCCTCACAAAGAAGTTCTCGTACTCTGTGTCTGCACCCGTGCCTCCAGGCTCCCTTGTTCGGGAGTGTTACTCTTTTGATCACTTCATGGTGTTTGCATGAGATTGTTAAGAAAGACCCTTGCAAGAAAGGCTTCCTTACAGATTTACGAGTTGTCAGACATCCAAAGGAGTGGAGACAAGATCGTGCTATCACAGGAGTGTGAGCTATGGCACCTGCCAGGGTGAGAAGCAGGAGAGAGAGGAAGGTGCAGGTCTCTCGTGGACCTTGTTTCACGCTTCCATCAGACTCTCCTGGTTCACACAGTCTGGATTCACATCGCCACTTTGAGGTACAACTTTTTATTTGCTTATATGTTTTGACTCAGATACTACCTTTCTTCTCTTTTTGCTTTTCCTCCCCTTAAA